ATTTTGCAGAAGTCTTGCAGGAAATCATCTTATCGCCTTAGAGAAGAGTATATTTGATAAACTGCCGCATTTAGTCACCTTGTAAGTAATCTGATCAGAATGATGAGAACATGATTGTTATCAATTTTTACAGAAACATGTTTCAGAATAAAAGATAAAAATATTATTTTTGTGGAACATGTACGATATTGTTAACAAGCACGGCTTTTCGTCGACATTTAAAAACTATTTAAAAATACACATCCTAATTTAGTTTAAGCACTTGTTTTGTATGATATATTTATATATATGTTATCTTTGCATCAGGTATCTGAATAAAAACAATATTTTCAACATAAACAAGGAGACAGCAGCTATACTCACCAAGTTGATGGCAGTGTAAGTAACTTGCCGAGTACACATGCACTACAATATGCCTGACCATGCATTCCTTATCATAATTGAAATTTTACAATTTAGAATTATTATGACAATTGACTTCATACATGTGTATGATATTTAATATTTTAAAAAGCAACTACAATGTTTTAAAATGTTGTTAAAACATCTTTTCATTTGGATATCGGTTATTTTCGTGACAGACAATTTAGATATGCACTGCTGTTCTGAGTTTTACTTCATTGGGTTTCGATATAACTGAAAGTAAAAATCGTCACTGAAGTTAAAACTGCTCCACGCTATCTTCAATCTTTTTCAGAGACCTCAGCAACAACCCTTATAATTGCTCCTGTACTCCAGAAACAAAGTTTATGATCAATTGGATTCAGAAAGTGAAAGGGCTAAAACCAAAGGGTATAAACTGGGTAGCTTTTGTCAATGACCATGTTACAACATGCGCGTCTCCAAACTTTTTGAAGGGAAAAAGACTAGATTCATTAACCGTGAACGACGTGTGTCCAGATACCACATAGATGATGAACTATCTGCCACCGCGTTAAATTTCGTACGAACGCCTGGAAATTTAAATGTAGTGGTGGCATAAACGTTTTCTGATATAATATCCAAGAACAAAACTGATGCAAATCACTACGATAAATTTGAAAAAAACTTTGGTAAAAGTTTTCATTACGTCGTGTTTTACTATAAACTCAATTATACAATTATCTTCTTGTTATCGAGCATCCCGGTGATTGTTTTTACTTGCATTGTTTATTGTAATGAAATAAAAACATTAGACCTAATGCTTTTTAGGTATATTGGCCTAATTGAACTTAACGAACTCTAAAAATGGATACGCCAACGATGAAATATTGTTAAGTTAGAAAATTTCTGTAATCGAAAAGGCGAGGACATAAAAAAGTGAAAAATAGGTCTAGTAACGAAATAAAGACCACGTAGATTTATAGAGAAAAAAAGTTCAGATATAAAGAAATTTTAATGGAAAACAAAAAGGAAAGGTCGACGTTATGAATAATTCACAACAGACACATAAAGGATTAAACTGATTTCTGATAGAAATTTCTTCATAATATTATGAGAAATAGATCTAATTCATTGTTTAATCCTTTATATGAGTAGTTGACGTCTCTTTCGATTGTTGCACACATTGCGTTGAGCACGAGTTTGTGACGTTATAATTAAGTAACTACAGACAACCGTTGCTTTGCATCATTCGGTTGATTACTAGTAGATACAAAGTCTATATATTATTGATATCATTATAGCGAAAAAAAGAGTACCAACTACGTTTTAGGCTGCGATATTTATAAAGTCATGTCGTCACGGGTGAGTGTGATAAGGGGCAACTGTAACGTAGGCGTGACTGAATGTCAAGCTATTGGGCCACTCACTATATAATGCTGCTGTAATTATCTATTTTATCAAACATAGGCCTAAACTCTAATACTTTTGAAACTTTTGCGTTAAAATGGTAGGCTCAATGCGTAAGAATAGGCCTACTCTTTCTCGCATAATCTTTTAAAATGTATTATGAACACAAAGACAATGGCCTTTTGACCTTTCTCAAAAAAGTTCAATGATTAGAGACAGCATAACGTATTACAGCCTAAGGCTTATGTGAAGGTTCTACTTTTTGTAGGCCTATTAGACGAGCGTTGAACTGTAAGAAATATGCCTCTGTGTATGACTGCTTTAAATAAGGATATTGTCTCAAAACTCTCCAAAACTCCTTATTTACTGCTTTATATGCATTTTTTGCCAATCTTGTTTAGGGATGAAATTACGCCCCATACCGATTGCTATCTCCCCTCAAAAAAAGTTGTTAAATTGACGATTAAAGCTTTGAGTTGTCTATACTTATACATTGCAAAGAGAAATATAAACGTCGATATTTTATATTTTCAAGGGTTTTTATTGTTTTAAATCAGCACACAGATAGATGCATTATTGAATAATTAGATGCAGGAAAAACCTCATTTTCTGTATCTGGATGATAATAAAGTGTAACAATACTCTTAAGCCATTTAGAGCTAAACCCCTGTACGTGTTGTAGTTCCCTTAGATATCAGAATGGACTTCATTTTTGTAGATCTAACTTACGTCTACATTAGAAATATTTGCAATTATTCCTTTTTATTTATTTATTTATTTTTATTTATTTTTTATTTTTTGTAAAATTAAATAGTGTTGTTGACACCATGTTTTTTTTTTTTTTTTTTTTTTTTTTGCTCACGTCGCGTTAGGCACGAGTTTGTGACGTCATATAAACCATTATCAAATAGCCATAGGCAACCGTTGCTCCAAATCATTTGATTGATTTTGAAGTAGACTCTACAGTTTATTT